TTTTTTTATCACCTTTGTTTTTCCATTTCCAGTGTCTACAATCCCAAAGGAGACAAAAATTCTTCAGTTAGAAAGGAAACAGGGTGTACTGTGAAAAAGGTATACCTTAATTGGAGAGATATGGAAGTACTCATACAAGCTGATTTGTGATGTATCCATTGATGACACACTCATCAGTTCTTCTTGAAGAGACTCAACATCCTTTCTGAAAAGTTCTAGCTGTAAATGAATTTTCATAAAAATATTACTTTAAATTTTAAAGTATGTTAAACTACCACACATTTGTCACCAAAATGCAATATATCGACTCACACTCTTAGACTCTCCTGATCTTATTTTTTTACTTCAAGAGCCAGCATTTTATAGGACTTTAGTTTGCTGTCTTCTTTTTATGAACAGAAGACATACATACAAGATGATCCAACATATATCTATTTAATAGTAATACATACGTATTTTAAAAAGTTATGAAAGTTGAAATACCAAATATTTTCAAGTAGTTGGGACACTTTTTACCTGAGTCAAGCAAAGGGCATATTTGTCTATCCTTTTGAACACATGATACAGTGCATAGGTTCTTAAATACAGAAGTATTCACTGAAGATTATTTTCTGTTTTACAGAAACTGGACTTTTGCATGCTCTAAGACTTCCAACTAGCCCTTTTCTCTTTTCTCCTTCGAAAGACAGCTTCCCATCACAATAAGTTCTGAAGAACTGGCCAAGTATGACAAAAACATTTTAAGATCTTAAATAACAAGTCTAAAGTTATATTCAGAAAAGACTCAACTAGTCAAAAAAACAAAATACGTAATTGTAACTGAAAATAATATGTGAGGTCCTTTCAGACAGTAAACTGCAGTACCACTTTGCTACTTAAACATGCAAAAAAGTCAATGCACTAAATATTAAGTAGGTATCAAATCCTAAAGTTATGCCCTGCAATTCCACTAAAAATAAAGGTGCAGAAGAGGGCCTCTTCTAATCTCTGGATTCAGCTCATAATGCTGATCTCAAATCATTCAGCTTTCCACTGGGAAGGGAAAACGAATAAAAGACAAAGACGTGGGTTTTTCCACTACAGAACCATGCACTGAAAATTAACAGAATTCTTCAAACTACCACAATAATCTACAACTCACAGATAAACCTGCTATCAACAGATGTAACAGACTGTCCTCTAGAACATTGCTAGGAATCACCAGTTTAGACAGCATATTCCCACATCAAAAAAGTATAGCGACATTTCTTAACAATTCTGAAGTAACATTACTAGTGTTCACTGAATGTCTGCTTTCAGGAACCCTTCAATTTTCCTTCTGTTTCATAGGTCACAATTAGATTGCTCATTCCTCCCATTTATATTCCTAAAGATGTTTAATTAAGCGTATAAAGTTTAACAAAACTAGATTTATTCAGCCTTTTAAAAAAAAATTACATTACTTAGTTCTGCTTCAAGAGTTTATAATGATAAAAGCCTAAACAGAAAAACATGCTATGAGTTGATATAGTTACCAGAGAGAATCCCATTCTTTAATTTAAAATTTTACTTAAAATTTATACTACCACCAAAAGATAAGAGTTCCTAAGTCAAGAAACAATTAATAGATATGTGAGCCTTTCCAAAACTGTGGTCCCACTCAAGCTCTGAAAAGAATCCGCAGGCTTCAAATTACAACATGAAAGAAAGACAGGACTAAGAAGAATCAACTCTTTCTTCATGCTTGATACCCTAAACTCAAGGTAACCACATTAATGTTACTGTGAACTGGACAGTACATTTGGTTCTCCTTTATCACAGGCCAGAAAACAAGCTATATACAACCCACCAACATCAGGACCTTCTTCTCAAATGCAAAACAAAGAACTCCATATACTTTAGAAACAAAAGTAGGAAACTGAGGGCATATATAATACATCGTCATGCAAGAGTAGAAAATTTACTTAGATGAAAACATTTACTGAACTACAAGCCATAGCAGACAAGTCTTACATCAATTTAACCTGCTGTAAACTTACTAAATTCTAACCAGATTCCTATAGTGCTTAAAATGTTATTTCAGAAATTCAATCTCTTGTTGTTTCATACTTCCTTCTACTTTTGAATTTATGTTTACACTGGAGTAACTTTTTACTCTCTTCTCCTTATTTAGTATAATCCTTGAGCAGAAATATTTTTTTAATCTCTGATGTGTAGATATGGGGAAATAAAAGCAAAGTAAGTTGCCTTTCCAGCATACTTTTCCCATTTCAACCATTTCGTGCCCATCAAAAAGGGCTTTGTTCTACTTTGTTCTATCCAGGCAGACTTGCTATGCAAGTATTTCTAGTTCATTTTTCACAAGCAGCGTTTTTGACAAAAACAGTACACTTTCTGCTAAACAATTCACTATCAGCTTGTTTGTTGACATTCAAATTGCAACACTCTTCAACAAGAACAGCATGCCCAATGTGCATTAGAACTGCATCCCATCTACACAGCTTATCACCTTTTTTTCCTTTGGAAAAATAAAAGAAACTGGCTCCCCTGTTGCTTTATGGTTGTATCTGAAGCTTGCATTATTATTTCTCAAGTAGACTACCTTGCACTTAAATATATTTTATTTAATTTCTACTGTTCCTATGTACAAATTTGTATCATTCTCCATGTACAATAATTGAACTCCTTCCCACTGCCCTCTCCTCTCAACATGTCAACTACATCATCTTCCAATTTTACAATATTGCATAAACATTACCAAAGACACTTTCACTTTCTAATCAACAACTCTCTCTCCATTCCTTTTATGTTCTTGTGCTCTCATGGGAAAATAGGGTTTAGTGATCTACTGCCCAAGATTTTCCTAGACGCTTGTTTGTTTGCTTTTTTTTAAAAAGAGTATTGTTTTCAATCCCTTGGGCACTTCTAAGACCAAAAAGTCTACAACGGCAATGGTTTTACTCTTTTCAGAAGGTTTTGAAGCTTTCTTTGCATAGCATGCAAGATGACAATAAAGGAAGGAGTTTATTGTTTGTCTCAGGCTACAGTAACTCTTAAAATCCTCACAGCTTCTTGTTAGTCTCAGACACAGTGATCAACCAGTGTTATGGACACAGAGGACAAACTGCACAGAGGACA